ACTGGGACTAAAGCAAACAGGACACACCAGGGATGCGTCACATGGTGGGAAGTTGCAAGGCCAGTTATGGATTAGTGACCTAGCAGGGCAGGACTTTCCCTTTGAATGAGATCTTCACCATACGTACTCCCCAGATTCTCTATGGAAGATGCCAGAAGAGGCAGTCTCTGGGCCATGAGTCGCCTGTGCCCAATGATTGGCAATTCCCAACAGAGGGGGGCAGCAGAGGACTGATCTAGGCCCCCAGGTACCTGAGCCTTCATTGCAAGTTTTGAGGGCTGGATGGGCTGGATCCTGGCCCAGGAGAGGGAGAGGGCACCTTGGCTTGACCTCTTCTCCCTACTCAACTAGCCAGTCTCTCTTTGCAGTTTATAGTCAGTCACTTTCTGTTGGAACCATACTGCTGATTGGCAGGGAAGGTAATCGAGCAGCTCAGCAAGGGAGAGGAACTCCTGGAGGTCACACAACCAGACATAGACCTGACCCGACTCCAAGTCCTGGTTCTGCCAGAGGCCCTTGTCTGCTCTTTGAGCCAGAGTTGCCCTGTGTAAAGGTGAGGATAGGGTCAAGACCCCTCCCCTCCCTGTCCTCCTCCTGCTTCAGAGATACCTGCGCGGCAGGGAAGTGAAGGTGGCAGGTCCTACCGCAGCAGAGGTGGTGGGGAGGGAGGCGAGGTAATGAATGTGGACGGGAGGCGGAATGAGCGATCCATCTTTGCATGAGACGGGAGGGGGCTGCGGGCATCCCCCCTCACACACTCACACACTCAATCAGGCGCTGTCAGACCTCCGGCTGCCTGGCATTTTGGTGAAGAATCTCTCAGCTAAAAATTGTTGTCAGTCCCATTTCCTCGTTATCAGCGCAAGGGCTGAGGCAGCGCCCGGGGATTAGCAGGAGCGGAGAACGCCCCGCGCTTGCCATCCACTGCCGATAACACTGGGCCTCCCGCCTCACCTCCCCCATTCATCATCTTTAGCACTGACAGCCTGGCCCAGTCCCTGTCCCCATCCCCTCCTGCTTCTGCTGCTCTGCACTGTGCTGGCTCCTGACCTCCCCAGAGAGCTAATTCTCCTGGAGAGGGACAGGATTCAACCTAGGCCTAAGTGACCTAGACCCACCTGTGGCAAAAGGCCTTGCTCAGCTGTTGGGGAGCTCATCCAGGGAGGGAGTGGGGATGCTCAAGCGGATGATGCTTTCTGACAGCCTGCCTCGCCAGGCTCCTACGCCTACCTGTGACGTTGCCAATTGTACTGGAGAAGGGATTCCTGCATCAGATGGACAGCTAGACCAAGGATTTCTGGGGGCCTCACCAGCCTGAGATGGCTCCCAAATTCTGGGAATTGTGGAAAGGAAGAGCCAAAGAATGTCTCCTCCTGAACCTGAAAAGAGTAGGGGGTTGAGGGCTTCATTCCCACTCCAGCAAGACCACAGCCCCTTCCTCTTGGCCATCCCCAGCGGTTTTATGGCCCATTTTATGGCCACTGTAATGGCCCAGGTCAAAAGCTTCAGGGAGCTGTATTCTGGGAATTATGCAAAAGAGGAGCAGGCCCAGGGCCAGAGTATGGATTTTATCATTAAACCTGGGCAGGCCATGTCCTTAGTGCAGTAAAATCCACGTCATGACCACAGGTCTCAATATAAAATTATAGGGAACACAGCAGGGGAGGGAAAGCGGGAGGCCCATAGCTACGCTATCACCTGCCACTCTAACCCCTGAGAATAATGGGGTAGGATAGAGGACATAGGTTTCAGGATCTCTCTGCTGATCCCTGTCAATGCTACTAGAATGTGGGAGCCAAGAAGAGGGCCCATTATCCTAATAAAATAAAACTGAGTCAATGCTCAGAAAAACAGAATATTCCCATGGATGCAAAGCAGGTGAAATGAAAATAAATATATAGGAATGCTGATACCCGGCCCCCCGGCTTGGAGAAAGGAATCTGGGGTACAGGGGGCCCTAAAGGCCAGATTTAGTGTCGCAGACCAAAATCCCTGTCGTGTCCACCTCAGCTCAGACCCCATTTCCTAGATCCTCCTTGTCCCATGCTCTTCGTGTGTCCCTGTTCCAGTGATCTGTCCCAGCAACCTGTCAACGCTCCCTTGCTCATCTTCATGCCTCCCATTGACCATCACTTCCCCATGGATCCTACCAACCCTATGCTGTCTCCTCCCGCCCTCCCACAGTACCCTCATTGCTCATGCCTCCCTTACAGTTCTGACCTATACTCACTAGAGTCTCTGGCTTTCTTTTTTGAGCTTTCCCACTAATTTGTGACTTCCTAGAGGCGCGGAATGTGTTTTAGTTATCTCTGAGATCTGGTTTCCCCTAGAATAATATATGACATTTGATTGTTTTATAAATGCTTGCTGAATAAACAAATAAATGAAGCCATCAGATCAAGAACCAAGTTCAGGCCAGGTGTGGTGGCTCACACCTGTAATCCTAGCACTCAGGAGGCAGAGGTAGAAGGATCACCATGAGTTCGAGGCCAGCCTGGGCTACATAGTGAGTTCAGGGCCAGCCTGTACTACAAAGCGAGACCCTGTCTTAAAAAACAAACCCCCTACCCCCAAAAAAGAACCAAGTTCAGGCATTCCTGCCTCAATTTCTCCATCTGTAGAATATAGGTAATGGGCCTGGAGAAGTCCTAGGATTTCATTCACCTCTGAGCTAAAATAAGGGGCAGAGCTAAAACTAGAATCCTCACCTTCCACCTCCCAGGGGCCACATCTGCTTCTTTTAGTCAAAGCTGCCTTCCAACTTTCCCCTAAACATCTGAGGCACAGCCACCAAGGCACATGTCAAAAGGACTTCCTTTCCTCTTCTTTATCATTGAACACCTACTCTGTGCCACGCCTGCAATAAATTGTCTATATATAGGGCGAGGGATTTAGCTCAGTGGTTCTGCCATCTGCCTCTCAAGCGCAAGGTCCCAAGTTCAATCCCTGGTACCAGAAAAAAAAAAAAAAGTGTCTATATACAGATGAATAACAAATGGTCCCTGCCCACAAGGAACTCACAGCATATTCATTAATTCATTCACTTGCTCCCATTCCTTGCCTAGTATACTTCTAAGGTGCAACTTAAATTTCATTCTTTTGACTAAGCCTTCTCTTTTTACCATAACTCACCCCCACTACCAAAAAAACAGAATGAATTGCTCCTCGAGCCCTCAAATAACTCAATCCAGGCATGTAGAAGAGCCATAATCCTGCTGAGTCTGTCAAAGGGAGGTGAGTTCTTGTACTTAGCCTGGACTGGGAGCTTCCTTGGGTATAGGGCTGTCAAGTTTAGGATATGAAAATAAAAGATATCCAGAGAAATTTGATTTTGGAAAAACAAGGGATAATTTTTGTACAAATATGCCTCATGCAATATTTAGGGCATACTTACACTAAAGCATTATGCGTTGCTTATCTGAAACCAAATTTCATCAGGCATCCTGTATTTAATCTGGCATCCCTACTCAAGTAACCATCTTGGCCATCACTGCATGGGCTTTATCTCTGACACTCTCCAGGCACCCAGGAGAAGAAAAGGCAAGGAGGAAGATCTGGTCTCAAGTCCACACTTTCTACAGTCAGAGCATCCATGAATAGCTAAGGATGTTTCTAAATAAATAGGGATCCTCAACCCCATGCTGTAAACAGGCTAGCAGGGCACTGCACGAGAGAAAGGATGGGGTTTGGGTGTCCAATGGGGATAAACCGGGCAACCAGCTCACTTCCTCCTAGCATGGTTTGTTCTGTTATCATCAGTGACAGTAGAAATAGAGTTCGGGCACCTATTTGACCCCTGGGGTGCACACATACTGGAGATGCAATTGGAAGGGTAGAGTGGAAGGAGAGAACTTAGAATCAATGAGACTCACAAGGAGCCAGTGAGATTATCCAAGGGAGACTTGAATGAGGAGAACATAGATTCGAGGGATGTCGAAGAAGCAGAATGGACAGGGTTTGGTACTTCAACGAATGAGGAGTTCAGGGGAGTAAGGCAAAGGAACGGGCATACAGTGAGTAAGCCTGAAGTTACTGGCTTAGGTGACTGGGTGAAAGAGGTATTAACAGAGACACTCACTGCTGAAAGAGGAGTAGGTACGGGAGGGGTGAAAAAGTTGAAGAATTCAACTTTGAATTGTTGGGTTTCAGATTCTTACAGGACCTTCAGGCATTGAAGTCCTTTAGACATTTGAGTTTTGTTTTGTTTTGTTTTTCGTACCAGGGATCGAACTCCGGACCTTGCACTTGTGAGGCAGGCAGTGGCACCACGGAGCTAAATCCCCAGCCCCTAGACATTTGAATATAGGCGTATGGAGGCATCCAGAGTAGAAATACAGAGTCTGCAGTCAGTAAAGCATGGGTGGGATTATGGCCATAGAATGAGCAAGATCACCTAGCACATAGAACGAGAACAGAGGCTGAAGGAGGCCTTGGGGAGAAGGGAGAAAAGGAAAATGCTGCCCTGGAGGTCCCCTAGTCCTTGTTGGTCCTTCCCACTCAACTGCAAGGGCCTCAAGGGCAGAACTACACCTGATTCCATGTTAGGACCCCACTGCTCTGCAGTGCACCTGGTTCAGTGTAAGCATGAGAGGATGTTTATTGAATGACTCCTGGACTAAATCCCCTTTCTCTGCCCTACCCCCTCGTCTTCCTTCTCCAGATCTGAAGAGTATAAAAACACGAAAGGAAACAGACAGGGGTGGGGGCACTCAGTATTCTGGGTAATGCTGTGTTTAAACGCCTGTGAAATGGAGTGGTCAAGGTTTGAGTGCACAGAGCACTGACTGTCTCCCAGTAGATTTCCAAGAGGGGCAGCTGGCTGAGGAAGAACCATTTATGGTCACAGCCTCTGGAGCTGTGAAACAGAGTGATGGTCTTAGACTCTCAGGCTCTCAGGCTTGCTGGCTCTCCTCTCCTATAAGTCAAGAACATAAGGAGGCAGTAGCAGGCTTGAGATGGAGAACAGTCCTGCTCACATGTATCTGTTCTTCCCTCACCAGGTAAGAAGAAAGCAGCAGCACTGTTTGACAGCCAGGCCCCAATCTGCCCCATCTGCCAAGTCCTGCTGAGGCCCAGTGAGTTGCAGGAGCACATGGAACAGGAACTGGAGCAGCTGGCCCAGCTGCCCACCAGGTAAGCCACCAACACAGAGCCTGCCTGCTAGAGATGCACCTGAGGCTCCCAGCCACCAGGTCTCAGGATTATACCAGCCTACAGGGAGAAGCTGGGATCCTCCTGCCATTCCTAGCCACTTTCAACCCTCAGATCCTCCAGCTAAATGGTGCTCACTTTCTCTTCCTGATGTATTTTGTAAGGTGAGAGTGACTCCCCAAGCCCCAGCTGCAAAAGAGCATTATGGGAACTAGCCAGGGGATACCTACTACAGGCCTAGCACTGCATGTGGGGCCTCAGAGTAGGATAAAAGAAGCATGTGTGGGCCTGGCAGCCCCATCAGAAGGTCAGCCTGGTCCTGCCAGCCAGGAGAGGAGTAGTACTTTATGAATCTCAGGGGTTGAAAGGTAACAGTCTTGACCCACCCCAGCTCATCCCCAGTCCTCCCTTCCCTGCCCGCACCTGAAGGACTGTGCCGAGCCTCCTCAAGAACCTTAGAAAACAGCTAGGTAACCAAGGAAAGGGGTGACAAATCTTAGTAGTGTAAAGCAACCACTCCATTAGGCTCACGCAGTCAGGGTACAGAGGGCATGCCTGTATCTGCTCCAGATGTCTGGGGACTCAGCTGGGAAGACATGGGAGCTGAGAGCTTCCAGAGACTTCCTTCCCTCATGCATCTGATGCTTGATGCCAGCTATCAGCTGGGATCTCAGATGGACCTGGGTCCAAAGTACTTTCAGAAACTTTTCCAGGTGGCTTGGGCTTCTCATAGCTTGGTAGCCCTGAGGTAGTTGGTCTTCGTACACAGCGCCTTAGGGCTCCAAAAATAAATGTTCCAACCAAGATGCGAGCTGGATCACCTTTTGTAACCTAACCTCAGAAGTCATTCCACTGTATTCTATTGATCAAAGCAGTATTAGTCTACCCACATTCCAGGAGAGCAGGAACACCCACCTCTTTTGTTGGGAGGAGTGGTGAGGTCTTACGGTAGAAGATTACATGGGAAAGAAGAGATGGCTGCAGCCACCTTTGGGAACTACAGTCTACCACAGTGAACTGCCTGGCCCTCCACTCCAGTCCTACCCCTCATTCAGTTCAAGTCATAAGAAATAAATGACCCCCTTCCCGTCCACACTCTCGACGAATCACCTCCCAGGGTACAGGGATCCGAAATGGCCCCGTCCAGGAAGTTCACAGCACAAGAGTATAGAAAGTCAGGAATAAAAACCTGAAGGAACAGAAGCTGCTCTATGGGAGGAGATGGAGCTCTGGGAGTATCTAGGAGGCCCCAAATGTGGCACAGGACAGAGAAGGCTTCCTGGTGGGCAAAAGTTGAGGGAAAAAGTACTGGTATTGCAGTGTTACAAATTACCCCAAAACCTAGTGGCTTTAAACAACAAACATTTACTATCTGCATTTCTGTGGGTCACCAGTTCCAGACCAGTCTAGAAGGGTAGTTGTGGGTAGTTGTGACTATTGGCTCAGAGTCTTTTCGGGGGCTGCAACTGAAGTCATCTGCGGGGCTTCCTGAAACTGCGGCATGTTTCCAAGCAGCTCACTTCACATCGCTGTTGGCAGGAGGCCTCAGTTCCTCTCTATGGGTCCCTCCAAGGGCTGCTTGAGTTTCCCTCTGACATGGCAGATGACCTCCTACAAGCATGTGATCCAAGAAAAACTAAGGAGGAAGCCACAGTGCCTTTCCCTAGTGTAGGAAGTCACACACCATTGCTTCACCTATACCCTATTCTATTCATTAGAAACAGGTCATCGAGTGCAGCCTGACTCAAGAGTGGAAAATCAAGCTATATAAACTCTGCCTCTTGAATGAGAGCAGTAGCAAAAGAATTTGGGAACATACCTTATCATACCTTAAAACCCCCATGGAAGACTGTATTAATGGTAGCTAATAAGCCTTATTAAACACTAAGTGCCAAGTATTTTACATTGCATTAATTTATTTAATCATCGTTACACCCCTCTGAGGTAGGTGGTACAGTTACATGTTAATTGATGATGTTCATTCTGAGAAATTCATCCTTAGATGATTTTGTCAAATGAACATCATACAATGTGCTTACACAAACTAAGATGGCAGCTAAGCATAGAGGCACACACCTGTAATCCCAGCACTCCGGAGGCTGAGGCAAGAGGGTCTGGAGTTTGAGGCCAGCCTGCCCTACATAATGAGTTCAAGTCTAGCCTAGTCTACACAATGGGACTCTGTCTCAAAACAAACAAAAAAATCATAAGATGGCTACAATGTCATTAGGCAATATAATCATATGGAACCATTGTCATATATGTTGTCCATTCTTTTTTGGCAGGGGGGTTGAGACAGGGTCTCACTATGCAGTTAGACTGACCTGGAACTCACTATGTAGCTCAGGCTGGTCTCAAACTCACAGTGATCCTCCTGCCTCAGCCTCCCAAGTGCTGGGATTACAGGCGTGAGCCACCACACCCAGCATGTTGTCCATTCTTGCCCAAAACACTGTTATGTGGTACCTGACTGTAATGACTAACCCCATTTCACAGATGAGGAAACAGGCACTGTAACACTGTAATACTGCTCAGTAGTAAGGTAACAATAAGATTCAAACTCAGACAGTTTGACTCCAGCGCTGATCCTCTTAATCCCTCAACAAACACACCGGGGACTGACCTGCCCAAGCAGAGTGAAAGACACAGCCCAGTTGAGTGCCACGCCTTGCTTGTCCAGGAGTTCTGTATAACTTGCTCCCAACAGAGGACTTCTCAATGGGAACAGAAAACAGAGGAAGAGGTGGAGAGAACCACTGTCTCATACAGGCTGTGTGTCCCTGAGGGTCCTGAGGACCAGATCTCTCTGCCTCCTGGCTGGGATCCCTCACTTGTGCTGCCCAGAGCCCAGGCGCACTCATGACGCATCCCATCCCTCATTCCTCGCAGAGCATCAAGTCCCTTTCCCCACCCAAAGTCCCCACCTATGTCCCTGCCCTCAAGGCTGTGTCTCAGGTCCCCCACATCTGTCCTGTCACGTCCGGCCAGGCCCAGCACCCCCTACGCCCACACCGCCTCTGCACGTGCACACCCTGCGACCCAGGCACGCCACCCCCCAACACGGGGTGTCTGACAGCCGGACAGCGGGATCTGCACAGCAAGTGAAATTCCCGTCGGATCGATAAAGCCGAAGCGCTGGCGGCGACGGGTCGATGGTTTTATCTGTCTCGGCCCTGCCGCGCCCGGCGCGCTGACAGCTGGACCGGCCGGCAAAGGCGTTCAAGGGCAGCCGCGCCCGCGCCCCCTCCCTGGCCGCTGCGCCCACCGACTGCAGGCTGGACTGGCCGGCCGCCCCGTGATTTATCTGGATTTTTAATTGGAAAAAATTTGCGAATTAATTGATTTCAGGAACTTGCCAATTAACATTGTAATTGGGTGCGTGATAAATTCCCAAGGAGTGTGTCAGCTCCCTCCGGGCTGGCTGCCGCCCTCAGGAGGGGACGGCAGGGCCCCAGCTTTGTGCCCTTGCCCCGCCCTGCTGGCTTGGGGAGTGGGGACATGAGAGGCGCTGGAGAAGGGTGGGGAAAGGAGGTTCGGGGCTTCTGAAGTATTCCCCTCTTTTCTCCTCCCCACCATCAGTATCCTGAAAAGAAAGGGGATTTGGCCTGGCCATTTCATAGATGGGGAAACCGAGTCCCGCAGAAGGCCAGAAGCCAAATGTGGGCATCCACACTCCGTTGCCTCCTCCTTGCTCGCTAATCCTCCCCTTCCCGGTCGGCCTCATGCGCTCTTCCTCTCTCAGCTCCCCTACTTTCTTGGCCCAGAGGGCTCCTCCCCCTCCTCTCTTAGTCACCCCTCTTGCCCTCCCCTCTTCCTCAGCCCAGGCCTGTCCTGAGCTTGTGATAGAGCTGGCAGGGGGCCCTCTGTCAGCCTGCCGCCAGGTTCTGCCTGAGGAGCTTTCAGGGTGGACCTGTGCTGCCTCCTGTCGCTTTCAGTCCAACAGCACAGAGCAGGGACCCTGGGAGCAAACTGCTATTTGGGATACACCCAAGGGCTCACAGAGAAGCAGCAGCCTTCCAGTTCCAAGCTAGGGAGCTGGTTTTTCACAGGTATGCACAGCCCCCTTCACACACACACACACACACACACACACACACACACACACACACACCCTGAAAACTGCCTTCCTGCCATGCACATTCCCGCAGGTACATGGTCACCCAGACCCTCACAGGAAGAGCAGTGGGAGCTCCCACTGGCGCAGAGATTGCAGTTCTCAAAGCTCTCACATTTGACATCAGAGATTATACCCACAAACCCTACCCTGTCTTTCTCCTTCTCAGTCCTGCCAACCAGGGCTCTCTTAGATGGCAGGACCTGGCCAGTGAAGACAGAGAGGGCAAAGTTAAGTCAAGGACAGACTGTGGAGGGCCTCGCATGCTGGAGGGGATCCTAGACTGGAGGGATAACGAGAATAGTCAGGAGTCGGGATGAAGCGCCAGCAAAGCAAGATGAGCTATAGCAGAAGGCTTGGAGTATAGACCAAGGGCTGAGACGGGGTGGGGTCCTGGGGCAATGGCAGTGGCAGTAGGGTGCAGAAGAGAGGACTTAGCCGGAGTACTTCCTAAAAGGACACTTTCTGACTTGGATGATTAGAAGTGTGGAGCGGGCAGAGAGGCAAATGCTAAAGGCAAGAAGGGGCCACAGGCAAGGCTCTGGGCAAGCTGAGCCTAAGATGTCTCTAGGATGGTGATGGGGCAGGGACTGGGTGTGGATGGTAGTAGGGACACAGGCAAGGGCAGAAGACAGAAGGGCAAGTGGCAGGGGATGGCCCCTGACCTCTCTGTGGCCCTCAGGCAGGAACTTCCATCCATGAAGAAGAAAAAGCCTTGGACATAGAGAATTTGTACAGAACTGAAAGTGGGGCCTAGTTTGATAGGGCTTGAGCTCAGAGATCTCCTCTGGGAGGCTTCCAGAGCCACTGAGAGAGCCAGCTTCTAGGCTGGGAAGCCAGCTCGCTGGGCAGGGCTTTAAAAGGGCTGAAAGAAGCCAAAGGGAGGCTGGGTGACTGTAGAGGAGAGGCAGGGTATGGAGATGCCAGTGCCCCCACCCCCACTTAAGCCTTATTTAAGGCTGGCCTCGGTGTTTGGTTGGGTAATGAACTAGATAAACAATTCCCCAAATAGATTAAAACGAAGTGTAACTTACAAAGGCGGCTGGTGATGATGGTTTATTCCCCGGCAGTGCACCATTTCTTTATTTCCAAGGATAATTCAGTGTAAATCACCTTAATTAAAAGTGTCAGCCCAGCCCATGAATATTGTACTTAGGAACGCGTTTCCTGGGTCCCAGTTATAATTTAAAACCCATGGATCACTAGGCAGCGAGTGACTGAGCAAGGGAGGAAATCGTTGAGGGTGGGCTGTGGAACAGGGAGGGACAGAAGGCAGAGCTGATGGGCTGGGCAGGAGCCAGACTGCGAACAGCTCCTGGGTTTAGACCTCCCTGCTCCAAGGCAGGCCTCTCACCAAGCTCTTCAATCTCTGGAGGACCAAGCCAACTTAGAGACGATGCGGTTGGTGGAGGAAATATAGGGCAGAGCCTTGGCTCAGAGCGAGGAAATGGTCTGAGGTTGTACTCTTTTCATGCAAAGGAAGGGAAGAATATTACTAGAGAAAGAGCTAGATGATGGGCTTTGCCAAGTGGGAGGCTGGACCTCCTGACCCCGAAGGGCCTCATGCTATTCGGTAATGTAGTAAAGTCCTGGGTCAGTAAGACCCTCCCCCGAAGTCACAGCAAAGGAAGAGAAGAAAGAGAACACTTCTGCCCCGAAGCCTAAGCCCTGTGTGTCTTCAGGAAAGCAGTAGGCAATTAAAACTCAGCACCATGAGCTAGGTGTATGTGGTGTTGTGTACTCATAATCCCAACTACTTGGAAAGCTGATGCAGGAGGATCACTCAAGTCTGGGAGTTCAAGACCAGCCAAGGCAATATAGTGAGACCTTCTGAATATATATATCCAACACTTTGGACTTGTTTAGATCCAAACTTATATCTCAAATCCTCCAAGGACTGTGGGAACACAAAAATGTCACCTGACCTGTTAATCAACTTTGTAAAATGTCTGTGATGACTCAGGGGGATAACACATACAAATCTTGTGTCCGTCATATATAGGGGGTACAATGATCATTCATTCCTTTTTTGCCCCCTGTTCTCACCTGATCCAACTAGTCTGGAGCAATGCCTGGTGAGAACAGTACATACAGTAGGAGCCTCGCTTTTTGGTTTGTTTTTTGTTTTTTTCTGGATCACACTTTATTGAGCACCACATGGAGCTAGCTCTGCATAGGTGCAGCAGTGAGGAGGACAGCTCTCCCTCAAGAGAATGGGTGTCTGATTTTGTAGGCAGAATGATGAAGGAGTCATAGCAGTCATGAACTCACAAATCAGTGGCACCTCCAGAGCAGCTCAGTTTCCCCTTTATATCCTCAATTCCTCCATGAGAGCAAAGCAGGACCATTTATGAGCAAAATATAATCAGACAGAACCTTTTCTGGCTGTCCTTCCTAGTCTGTGATGTCCCTATTGTGTGATCAGACTGGTAGACCTCAGACCTTGACCTCATCCTGCAGCAGAATCTAGTAGCCTCTGCACTGTGATGTATGTGTGTCGTATGTGCCAGTATGTGATTCCATCTGATGGGTGTATGCTGGTGCCTGTATCTATGCTTGTGTTATGTGGACTTGTGTATATGAGCAGCTCTTCATCCAGTCCGTGTGGCTGTTATGAATTTGTCTTTATGGCCATGTCTCTGGGAATATGACCCTGTGGCCCTGTGCATCTGTTATGCATGCCTGAGCCTCCCACTATGACTGCATGTAAGCGTGCCTGTTGGCAAAATTACAGTTTGTGTATATGTGTCTGCCTTTAGACCAGGGCTTCACAGCCTCAGCACTATTGATGTTTTGGGGTCAGATGATTCTGTGTTGTGAGAGAGGGGCTGTCTAAGACTCTAGGATGTTTAATATCCTCTACGCACTAGATGCCAGTAGCAACCCCCTCTCCCGCCTAACTTTCAACACTTGAAAATATCTTTAGGGGATGGGGTACAGCTCAGAGGTGGAGAGTTGGCCTAGCACATGTGAGTCCTGGGTTTAACCCCCTAGCACTATAAAATATAGATATCTAGATATTGCCAAATTTCCCTAGGTGGGTAACACAACCCCACCTCCCACACCCCGCTGACATAAGGACAAATCTTCCTATGCTTTTGCACATTGGGTGTGCCTATGTTGGCCCAATGGGTGCCTAAGCACATCTGCAAGTGTTCCCTGTGGGTACACCTTGTAAGTCTGCATGGGCCCCATATATTCTGCCTTAGATGTGTGCACATCTGTGTCTTTTGTGTGTTCTGTGGGTATGCTCCACATGTGTGCCTGTGTGAGGACTTATGAAAACGAGCTGCATCTGACTCCATGCATACACAGAATCAGCCAGCACCTCTGTATGCATGTGTGTGTGTGTGTGTGTGTGTGTGTGTTCACGTGCACATGCGCAAACGTGTAAGCACAGATGTGGCAAGTGTAGTGGGGGCAGCAGGCAAGGAGGGACAGGAACAGGGATATTAATGTTTCTGAAGTGGATCTGATTTGATATGTCTTGTTCCATTGTCAGCATCTGTTTAGTGGGGATTTGTAATACTTTGTGGCTCTGGATCACTCATGCTTAGCGCGGGATGTGGCCTTGCATACCAATTTTGTTATTAAACACAGTCCTTGCCTCCCCCACAGCCCATCCATCACCTCCCGCCCCGGCCCCCGCCTGCTCTGAGCTGCCCACCATATTTCAGGACCCGGCTCCCACCCGCCTGCCATGCCCGATGCTGGAGGGCCTGGGGCTGACAAATTGAATCAGGGGGAGATCATTCCTGGCCTAACACAGTTTGCAGCGTGTTGGAGGAAGAATTGACAAGAGCCATGTCAGCTCCATCACCCCAATCCCATAGGAGCTAAGAGCAGGCTGGGGACGGGGGTGGAAAGCAGGGAGTCTCCATAACAGGCAGAATCATCAGGGATGATCCCAGGAGTGAGGTAAATTCTCCTTCTCCAGATTCCATACCTGGTATCTACACCCCCACCCCACTCCAGTGGCCAGCATGACCTTTGGCCTCTGAGCTAGGATAGACTATTGGACTGAATGGAAGGGGTGGAACTCCACTAAACTGGCTGGGCTAGCTTGGGCTAGGCTGGCTATGCCTCTCTTGGGGGCTTCTTGCTACTCTACCCTTGCATGCCCTGGGCAGCAGGTGGAATGGTCACCCTGTTCTCTTCTTTCTTGGCAGCAAGAATTCCCTTCTGAAGGATGCCATGGCTCCAGGTACCCCCAAGGTAGGTGGCCAATTGTGTTTCTCCTTCCGCCCATCCTAACCTAGACCTGGTTTCTCCTAAGAAAAAGGAATGCTTCATGGATTACCAACTGTCTCCAGGGCTTGAACATCAGCCTGAGGTTTAGGGCTGCTCTGTGTGTTTGTGTGTATATGTATCTGTGTGCACATGTGCATGCAAGCGTGTGGTCTGGTCTGTGTGTGAATGTGGGCATATTCATCTGATTTCCTCCTCTTCAAGCTAGAATGGAGTCAGAGTGAAGAACAGCCTGGGAAGGTGGGTGACCCAGACACTAAGGCTGGGGAAACTCAAAAAAAAGATGAGCTATAACAAATGAAGAAATACATAGAAATTTGGTCAATACAGATGGTTCAGGGCCTCAGAAACCAGATCATAGGACAGTGTGGTGTGTGTGTGTGTGTGTGTGTGTGTGTATACATGTACATGCACACACAGAGACAATAAGGAACCAGAGAGGATGCTGGGTCTATCTGGGTGGGGAGACAATCTGTCCCTTGAACAGACACTATTGGAGAAAAATTTGAAAGCATCAGATGAAGAAAGGAAAGGTGAAGGGCAAGTATCTGGCATAAAGGAGGGGCCAGAGAGACCCTAGCACAATGATATAATTTGTACCAAGAACTCCCCTATTGCCACAGAGGTAGGTGGTGCTGCTTCCTCAAAGGTGATGATTTTGAGGACACAGCTAGAGAGGAAGACTAAACCCTCACTCCCTGAGTAGCCCTTCCCCACCTCAGCACAAGGCTGCCCTCTCATAAGCTCTCACAGCAACTCTCCAGTGTATGTTATGGGGAGTGAGGAGGAAGTGTTGAAGCTCGGGAAGTAAAGTCAGTGAGGAAGAGTACTAGGGGAGATGAGAACAAACTCCCAGATGAGAATCTCAGAGACTTCTGCACATATAGTGAAGATAAGGTCCAGGAGGCCAGGGAGGACAGAAAAGGGACAGTCAGTGAATTAGGAGGACTACAGAAGAGCGTGGTATCCCAGAAGCTAAGGAAAAAAAAAAGTTTTGAAATGTATGGAATGGTCAGTAATCCAACAGGGAAAGGCTGGTAAAGGAGCCCACTGTGTTTGGAAGGCTTAAAGTCACTGCTCACTTCTGAGAGGACAGTTTGGGAAAAGGAACCAGAATGGCAGATATCACCTCCACAGGGTTGGCCCGACTATCCTTCAGGCTTTTAAAAGGGTGGACTAGCCAGGTATGGTGGCACACACCTGTAACCCAGCACTTTCTGAGGCTGAGGCAGGAGAATCACAAGTTCAACCCCAGCCTGGGTTGACTTAGTGAGACCTGGGGGTGGGGGTGGGGGTGGGAGGGTGCTGGTAATATAGTTCAGTGCAAAGGCCTTCAATTCAATCCCTAATACTGAGGGGAAAACAAAGGTAGAGGTTGACCTGGCACCTTCTTTTAAGAAGTTGGTCAGCTATAGCCATAGCTATAGCCAGAGAGAGGAGGAAAGAAAACTTGAACTAACCTTGGATTGCAGCTGGACTGGTCAAGGAGACAAAGTCCTCTGAGTCCTAAATAGAAAAGAAGAGGGGAGCCAGGCAGCTTGGATTTAGAGATAGGGAGCCACACTGGCTGAGATTGGCCCACCCTGCAGCATAGAAGGGTGAGGCTCAGGAAGGTCGTGACCAAGCTTCTGTGCTGGCCACTACAACCAGTGACATGTGACACCTAAGCATGGCTAGCAGGGGTGAGGACTTGAACGCCACAGAGGCCTGTATTCTGAAGACACAATCTACATCCATACATAGCTCCTCACATATACGCAGCACCACATAAAGCCAGATCCAAAGGCACACCCAGGAAGTCTTAAACCTGAGCACATTCCTGCACCCACAGATGCAGGCACGATGATCACCAGAGGCAGAGGCAAGGCATACGTGCCCACCACTTCCAGATACGTGCTCACACCCCCAAGCTGAACAGTTCCTGGCCCATCCTTGGCCTTGACCCAGGCTTTAGGGAAGCAGGTCGTGGGGGAAGGAATAGGAGCTAAAAGATCAAAGCACAAGACTGAGAGGACGGAGTGGGAGGGAGAGAGGAGGAGGAAGAGAGGGCAAGGGGGCCTTAGACAAGATTGATGGCCTCGTTGCCATTAAGAAAAAAATTAGCCGGTGGCGGCTATCATATTAAAGGGTGAAGAAGCCGTGAATTATTTTCTTAAAGATCTTATCGCTTACAATGATAATTTTACCTTCCAAAAGGCCACTTTTAATGAGGCGAAGAGCCAGGCAAAAAGTCATGATTTAATGCCAGGATTTTTTTTTCAAAACACATTTTACTGCTTTTTGGTCCATGTTTAAAAAGCGCCAGTGACCTTTTTTTATTCCACTTGCCCCAGGTGTAATGCTGAGGCCTCTCAGGGCTTCTAACCTAGAGAGAATGAGAGAGAGAAAGGTGGGGGGAGAAGATGAAGATGAATATGAGAGAGATGGAAGAGAGATCATGAATGAACAAGTATGAGCTTTCTCATGGTCGTGAGGGTCCCACATTGTTCCCCGTCCTCAGCATCTTCCTTGGGACCAGAGCAAAAGGACATTACCTGAGAATACCTCCTTTCTGGTCTGTGGCTGAGTCACCTACCAGACTCTTGCTGGGCTCAGGAAGGTACAGAGGGAGCTTCCAGCTACAGGAAATCCCACCACAAGCCTTTGCAGTTCGTGTCTCTTCCAGCTCCTAGGCCAATCTATGGGCAAGTCAGGGAGTCCAGCCAGCCAGACCAGCAGCTGCCCCTTTCCTTCCCAGGGCCCTTGCTGAGGATGTGCATCCTGGCCACCACATGCAGGTCACATCCTAAGGCTCAGTTGGAGAGGAAGGATAAATGGCTGCTCCATCTTTCCCAAATTGCTTTCTTTGGGCTGTCACTGGCTATTTGGCATGGATTTCTAGGCCAGGGAGGACTCCTAGGGAATTGTGTGCAGTCTGGAGAAGGGGGGTGGTTGTTTTCGGGCCTCCAGGCCCCCAGTTTGCAGCTGAACAGGCCTTGGCAAGAGCTGGCTCTCAGGCTGATCGTGCCATGTGGTATTTAGAATTGTGGTGCTCACACACAATTTAAAGCAGACAGTTTATTAATCTAAACTGCAGTTGTATGTAGAAAAGGCCGTGCAGGATTGACATGGGAGGATTAGTTTTGTTGGGGTTTTTGCTGGGGTCATAGCCACATCATGGGGATAAATGGACCCAGCGTACATCCCTAGCTCCACACAGGAAACTCATACATACTATTTAATTTACTGTCTCCATTGCGAGGCTGCCATCAGCCTGTATTAGGGCAGGCAGGGTGGCAGGTATATGGCTTTTCCCCCAACCCTTTACAGGGGTCTTAGAGTGTGTACTCGCTAAGAGAATGAAGCATGTATAGTTGAGCCCACTGGAAGTGGCCGAGAGTCATGCCCCACGGGGGCAGAGCTCAGACAAAGCAAGTATGGAAGAGGTTCTGACACCCCAGAGGATCTCTACCCAGCCCTAAAGCAGCCATCCTCTTCCATGTGCCTTGCCCCTCACCCTTTCAGGGTCTCCTGGCCTCCTGTGCCTTTGCCTTCCTTCTGTGCCTCACCCCCAAAAGCTCCACAGGACTAGGGACTTCTGGGGACTGACTGACCATTGAGTCTAAGGCCTCATTTTTTTTTGTTCTTCTTCTTCTTCTTCTTTCTTCTTCCAGTCCCTTCTATTGTCTGCTTCCATCAAGAGGGAAGGAGAATCTCCGACAGCATAGTTTTTTTTGTTCTTCTTCTTCTTCTTCTTTCTTCTTCTTCCAGTCCCTTCTATTGTCTGCTTCCATCAAGAGGGAAGGAGAATCTCCGACAGCATCACCACACTCATCTGCCACCGATGATCTTCACCACTCAGACAGATACCAGGTGAGGAGGGTATAGCAGGTGGCCAGGAGAAGTGAGTTCACTGGGGTGGAGCTTCAGTGCCATTCAGGGATGTTAACTCCACCCCTCCTCTACAGGCTGGGAAGGGGACTAAATGCGTTTGATTTCCTCTGTCTATGGTAGTGCCCTTAAGTGAAGTCAGAAGGCCTAGGTGTAGGGAATGGCCCTTAAATAGATGGATTTTAGGGAGAGGCACCAAAGTCCCCTGGGCTCTGCTGAGCCCTGAGCACCTTTGAAGCATGCATCCATCCATCCTGTGGAGTTTTGTTTTATGAAGACCCAGCGACATAGCCCAGAATCACTGAAGATTTCAGACTTTGAAAGCAGGATCCCTCAAGCAAGTAACATTCAATATTGCCAACTCTTGGTGTCAGGCCCAGGTAGAGAAAGAGGCAAACAATGGCTATGGGTGTTTGGGGCAAACAGGAAGGGAATAATCATACGATACTAAAATAGCAGAGCATGAAGGGAGCCTGTAGATGAACCTTCTTTATGGTAGGAAGGAAAAAGAAAGCTTTCTTCCTCCCAGAAGCTTTTATCTGAAGAGAGGTAGAGTCTGGCCTTTAGGATCCCCATCAGATGTTAAGAAAACAAGGCCCTGCTCCAAGGAACATTTGTCTAAATGGCAACAGGGTTTCCCAGAAAGCCCGATGTGAAAAGGGAAAAACAGTCCTGGTCCGATATGACAAGGACCAATAAGCTGAAATAGAGAGCCAGAGTCTCTGCTGGCATGCACAAGCCCTTGCTTGGAACTAAAGAAAAATGTCCTCTCGGGCACACTTTCCTCCTAGCTGTCACAGCCTGCCATCAGGGTACAGAGCTGAGAGGGGAAATGCCAAGAGCGGGCTGGAAACCAGCTTTCACTGGTATCTCCTCTGGTGGATACCTTTTTATTGAACTCAAACTACATAGCCAGTCTTGGAGAGGGATCCCTGCTATCTTGGGCTGTTTTAAGAATGACAGCCCATTTAGCACCTGGGAGACATCACCCTGATCCAGACAACCCTGACTAGGTAGAGTACACAATTCTAATGAATTCTGGTCTCAGGGACAGAGCTCTGTACCTGCACCAAAGGATAGGAAGAGCCCTGCCTACAGAGGCCCCTCTTCCCTTCTTCACTCACAGGATCAGCCTGGCTGTGTGCTCAACTAGGAAAACAGTAACTATCAAGCAAAAATTGCATATTCTCCTGGACCCCCCATTCCTACCCACAAAATGTTGGTGTTTCTTCTATTCTCTACAATGTAAGAGGAAAACAAGGGGCTTAGGCAAGAGGCTTTCCTAAAAGTAAACACATATGACCACATGCACGCGCGCACACACACACACACACACACACACACAGTCACTCACATGAAGCATTTTACAAACAGCTAACTTTGAAAGATAAGGAAACCTCTAGAGATCCAGGTGTTCCTCTCAGAGGTCTTTGGATCCCAAGTTAAGAAGCAAAACCCTGTTCTAGACTCTTAAAAACTCTTCTTCCTAAAGGACAAATCAGATTGATTTCCTATAATATAAAGTTCAAGTTCCTTTGCATAGTACCAAGGCCTTCTGTGGTTTAGATGTAACCTATATTTCCAGCTTCCATTCCTAATTGTGCTCTCCTTGAATCCCACAGTCTAAGCTCACTAAATTAATACTATCCACTCCCTGAACATGCCCTTCCTTTCTTGCCTCATCTTTCCATGAGTTGCTGCTTCTAACAGTATTAATCTACCCCACTGAACCAGATTTCTATTTACCTTTCAATATCCCCAATGTTACTCCTCTAAGAAGCCTATGGATTAGCTATCTCTTCTCATGACCCTTTGGGTGTCCCTGTTATTGCCCCTGTCACTTTATATCATGATCACTTGTTTAGGTATGTTTCTGTTATGTATCCCAAAACTTGTTGGCTCAATACAAGTTATCGTTTCTTATGATTCTGTGGGTTGGCTGGGTATTTCTTCACTTAATGCAGCTTAGTCCTCTAAGGAAGGGCTGGACTGGAAGGTCCCAATGTCCTTGCCACATATCTGGGAGGTTGGCTGTGGTTCTCTTCCATGTGGCCTCTCAACTTTTTTACTTAGCAGTCACTCAGAAGTGTCCCACCAAGAGGGTGAAGACCACAGCTTCTGTGCACAGAGTCCTGAGATTAAAAGCTGTAACTCAGGCAACATTGATTCCACCACCTTTTATTGGGCAAAGTAAATCACAAAACTAACCCTTAATCATGAGGTGAAGAAACTCAGCTCTTGAGAGAAGCAAAGAATTGTGGCCATATTTAATCTATCACAATGAATCTTGACTCTTTGCTGGATTTGGAGTTCCTCCAAGGAAAAGATCTTGTCTTATCCTTCGCTTACTCAAATGTTTATCTAGTACCACTCATGCTCAGCCTAGTGTCCTTCCCTCGAAGGACAATGGCAAATGGATATATAGGGCATAGTATTCCAAGTGCTAGGCCAAGCATGTAAATAAGCTTCTAAGATAGTACAGTGGAAAGAAAGGGAAATCAGAGCGAGTGTCACATAAGAGGTAATGACTAAACAGGGTTTCAGAGAAGGAATAGGAGTTCACTGTAATAACAAGGAAGAAAACGTATTTCACATAAAGGTAATACTGTGTGCAAAGGACAAAGAGGTATAATATGGGATGATGTATTTAGAAACCTGTTAGCAGCTCAGTTTTGTTGGAAAGGAGACTGCTCGCTGAATTAATGCCACCCACACCCTGGCTGTGCTGTTAGGAAAGGGAGTTGGTGACAGGTGAAGCTGGAAAGTAACTCAGAAACTAAAATGGATATCCAGTTCTTTACACAATGCCTGGCAAGTTGCAGTTTTGTGGTTGTGTTAGGTTTAACTGTTAATCTAGGCCTAAAGGGGCTATTGGTTTCTAGTTTAGATTTCCATTTACCATGCTTAGCCCCTGCTCAATACCTACCATTATCTCACTTTACCCTCATGTCAACTGCATAAGCTAGGATTCACTGGCCCTTGTTACTAAGGAGACAGGTTATGTATGTATATGTTTTGAGAGACCAGGTCTAACTGTGTAATTCAGGATGGCCTCAATCTTGCAATCCTCCTGCTTCAGCCTCCTAAGTGCTGGGATTTACAGGTGTGTACCACCACACCCAGTTTGGAGTGACGCTTCTAAATTATGAGAGAGTAAAAATTTCAACTTGAGTCTGTCTGGCTGTGAATCCTAGACTGTTTCTGTGTTAGCTTTCCATTACTGTAACAAATACTGAGATAATCAATTCATGAAGGAAAACAGTTATCTCGGCTCACAGTTTTAGAGGTATGTCTATGATTAGTTGGCCACATGTTACATCACATCATGGCAGGAACACATAGTCCCATTCACTTCATGTCCAGAAAGCAATAAAAGAAAACGAGAGACTAGAATCCCACATTGTCTTTGAGGCCATGCACCACTCTCCATGACCAGAAGACCTCCCACAAGGCCCCACCTTTTAAAGGTTCTACCACCTCCCAGTAGCATCAAGCTGGGGACCAAGACTTTAACACATGGGCTTTGGGGGAACATTCAAGATCTAAACTGTAGGATTTTCCTAGCCTCGCACTGGGCTCAGGGCTTCCCTCATAATGTCCTTCTCTCCTATTGATATCTCCTTCACATTAGACCATGTGTTGAGTGAGGAGGTAGAGATAACTTCTCACGTAGATAGGATGGATATGTAAACAACGAAAATACACATGATTAGAGGGACACCAAGGAACTGTGAAAACTGACAGGAGGTAACAAACCCAGCCTTGGAGGAAAAAAAATGAAGGCTTGCCAGAATTCTGAAGAATGAACAACAGTAAACCAGGCAGGGAACAATGGAGTACAGGGCAAGAAGGGCTCAAAAAGCTACAGGTAACTCTGCAAAGCTGTGTCAAGAGGAATGCGTGGAGAGGGAGTAGATGTGGTAGAAGAGTCTAGAGAAGTAGGCAGGGCAGGGCAGCCTGTGTCACAGGACTTCTATGTGGAAAAACACTGAAGGAGTTAAAGAAGGGGACACAGGGTTAATTTTCCATGTGAAATGTGAAGGATGGGTCGCAGGGAGAGAAACTGCAGACCAAAAGATTAGCTGGGAGTCAGTTGGAAATTGAGAGCTAATAAGATTATGAAGCAGAGCAATGACCAATAGGTATAGTTATTGAAGCAAAACTCAGGAACGTTGTGCCTATGCCAAATGCCATGCTGGGCTTTGGCTTCACCACAGTGACTCTCACATGGCCCCAACCCTGGTGTGGTCAGTCCACTGTTAAAAATTTATACAGGCTATGTAGAGATGAAAGTACTCTTATGGGTGGGAAAGCAATGCTTTAGTTAGGCCTGGAAGGAGGGTGTGTAGGAAATACACAAGAGGGTGGAGGTCAGAAAATTTAAGAGATCTTTAAAAGTATATTCTAGGGAGCTAAAGAATTGATTGTGAGGGATGAAGGAGAAAATAAGGTCAAGGGCAACTCTCAACTGTGTGAGCTCAGTAGATGTTGGCATCCTCTTACGAACTTGGAACCCAGGACCCAGAAAGAGGGGTGTGTGTTTGAGTTCAGTGTTGACCTTAAAGACGTGCAATGCCTGTAGGAGCTCCAGACAACGTCCAGCAGACAGTGGAGTCCTCTAAAAACAGAACTGCGATGGAGTGGAGGCTAAATGTAGGCCGCATAATGTGGGACGGCCCGTGGACGATCGGGTTTAGCTGGCCTCCTTCCAGCCGAAGAGCGCCCTCTGAGCCCTCTGCCCTAGGCCGTCCGCACAAGAGGCGGGACCTGCGGCGGCCTCTGGGGCGGAAGCCCAGCAACGAGAGGTGGCTGGGGAGGGGGACGGGCAGGGGGTGACGGATTTCGTGGCTGCTAAAGCTAAAGCGGCGGGGGGAGGGGCGATTTAGGGGCGGTGGGAGGACCCTTGGGAGTGGCTCTAGAAGGTTGCTCTCCGAGTGTGAGCGGCTGTTTCCTGGTCTTAGT